TCTTTCTAGCTTAGCAGCTGCAGTGCCACATGGTCAGCATTGGTCCTCAGGCCCTACGCCACGCCCTCTCTCATGGGAACAGGGTCTGAGACCTGTTGCACCCCTCCCCACGAGACCTCAGCGGGAGCCCAGCCCCTGTCCCCCAGAGGGGCCAGCAAACACACACAGGCCTAAGCCGACCGTGTGATACTTTTAGTTCTGGGGGCCTTTTCTGTTTTTGTTTTTAAAATAATTAATAGATTTTTTGTTTTGTTTTGGGTTTTTTGTTTTTTGTTTTTTGTTTTGTTTTGAGTACAGTTTGAGAGTTACAGAATGACTGAGCCTTTCTATTGGGTCCTGGTTCCTGGGGACGGGGATAGGGTTGGGGCAGGGGCAGGCCGTTTCTGAAGCAGCCCCTCCCACGTTGTAAGCAACCTCCCTCCCAGCCCTGGGTGCCAGCGAGGCCCGGCCTGGCGCGATGGAGTCCAGCTCCACACAACCCTGTCTCCCCACAGTTCCAGAGAGGCGGATAACACCATCCCCCTGCCCATTGGAGGCCTCAGCTACGTCCAGGGCCTCACAAAACCTAGTCTTATCCACGAGACTGTGGGGCGGTGCCTGGAAGCCACAGCACAGAGGGTCCCTGACAGAGAGGCCTTGGTCGTCCCCCAGGAAAACATCAGGTTGACCTTTGCCCAGCTCAAGGAGGAGGTGGGTCCTGGTCTTGAACCCCCGAAGTAGGCAGGTGCTAGCCCCCAGGCTGCACTGGCTGGGTAGAGCTGCAGGGGCCGAAGCTGGCTGTGGGGCAGGGGGCTGGGGCGGCCTGAGGACCCCAGGGGATGGCAGGAGAACGGCACAGGGCTGAGGCAGAAGGGGCCACCTGCACCTGATGTCACCTGCACCGCTCCCTCCTGGGATGCTTGTTAACTATGCATAGCCCCAGGCCCACTGCGGCCTGGAAATCTGCCTGTCCCTCGTTCCCAGCGGGTTCTGTTGGGAACCCCTGGGCCAAGGGCTGCGGTGGGAGTCATGGGCCCCTTCCTGCTCGCCCGCATCTCACCCCTCATGCCCTGTTTCCACCAGGTGGACAAAGCTGCTTCTGGGCTCCTGAGTATCGGCCTCTGCAAGGGCGACCGGCTGGGCATGTGGGGACCCAACTCCTACGCGTGGGTGCTCATGCAGCTGGCCACCGCTCAGGCGGGCATCATTCTGGTGAGCAGGGGCTTGCCCGGCGCAGCTGGGTGTGTAGGGAGTGCATATTTCAGGGGGACTCCCCGGCTCCTCGGCCCCCAAACCACCAGAGGGTAGCGCTTTCTTCTGAAGCCCCCAAAGGAGGCCCGGACGTGTAGGGCACTGCCTCTGACCACATGGTGTTTCTGTGCCTCCTAAGAACGGAGGGGCGGCGAGAGGGACGGGATCGAGCCAAGACACTGACTGACATCCCCTTGCTGTCTCCACCAGGTGTCCGTGAACCCAGCCTATCAGGCTATGGAGCTGGAGTATGCCCTCAAGAAGGTAGGACCCGCCCCTAGGGGAGGCATGCACAGGTGGGGGACACCCAGAGACTGTCCTTGCTTGGGTCTGTGTGGGTGGGAGGAGAGGGTGGTTGGTCAGACACAAGGCTGGGGCGTGCCTTGAGGTGGCACATGCGTGTGTCAGGGCGGTAGCACCTGGGTGAGGTGGTGTGCGTGTGTGAGCGAGAGTAACTGTTAGAACTACCCCAGAGCCCCCGCCTGGAGCCCCCTGCTGACCGTGCTGGGGGGGCGGGGCTCCACCTCCACAGGTAGGCTGCAAAGCCCTCGCTTTCCCCAAGCAATTCAAGACCCAGCAATACTATCACATCTTGAAGCAGGTCTGTCCAGAGTTGGAGAAGGCCCAGCCAGGAGACTTGAAGAGTCAGAGGTGAGGGTGTCCTCCCTTGGGAAGGATGCATGGTGTGGCCCCCTGGCCCCCGCGCCCTCAGGGATGAGGCTCACGTCTCCCTAGGCTCTGACTCTCGCTACCCTCCCAACCTCCAGGCTCCCAGACCTGACCACGGTCATCTCGGTGGACGACCCTCTGCCGGGGACCTTGCTCCTGGATGAGGTGGTGGCCTCTGGAGGCAAAGAGCAGCATCTGGCCCGGCTCCGGTACAACCAGCAGTTCCTGTCCTGCCATGACCCCATCAACATCCAGTTCACCTCGGTAGGGCAGAGGTCTCCAGGCTGGCATGCTACCCCCTGCCCACCCCTGTGACCCTTGCCCAAGACCAAGGAGGTCCAGAGTGCAGACACTCTCCTCCTGGGCCTGGCCCTAGCTGTCCTCTCTGCTCTGGAAAACATCGGCCACTGGTGTCCTTGTCACATGCCCCCCGCCCTCGCCTTCTCATCCTCAGCCCAGGGCCAGATGCACTGGCGGCACAGGCCAGAGCTGATAGATCTGCCTCCTCATTTAGCAGATGAGGAAACTGAGGCCCAGAGTGGGAATCTGCTGGTGGGCCACAGAGTCCTCTGAGCAACCTTATGAGTGGCGTAAGGACAGAGACCTTACCTTCCACACCTCTGGATCCTAACACCTGGCACCGTGCACGCGCCTGCTAAACAGTGAACACGTGTTCAGTGAATGAATGGATCTGGGGCAGTAGTCCCCGTCTCCTGACGCCCCGTTCCAGGGCTCTCCCACACAGGGGCCCAGAGCGGGGAAGGAGATGGGGAGCAGGAGGCCAAGCATCACCTGCTTGTCTTATCAGGGGACGACAGGCAGACCCAAGGGGGCCACCCTCTCCCACTACAACATTGTCAACAACTCCAACCTGATAGGGGAACGGCTGAGGATGCACCTGAAGGTGAGGGGCCTAGCCCAGGCCCTGCAGGGGGCGGTTGGGGGGGGGGGTCTTGTTGGGTTCCCCCTGCTGGCTAGACGAACTGGCACCTGGGGCTTTGGGCTCCGGATAGAACCGGCTTCCCGCCTCCAACCCCAGATGCCGGAGGAATCACGGATAGTCGTGCCCAGCCCCTTGTACCACTGCCTGGGTTCTGTGGGGGGCACAATGGTGAGCATGATGTATGGCGCCACCCTCATCCTACCCTCTCCGACCTTCGATGGCAAGAAGGCGCTGGAGGCCATCAGCAAAGAGAGGTGGGCATCAGTGGGCAGCCCCCCCCCAGGGGCTGATGAGACCCTCCTATTCCTCACTCCTGGGCCCTGATCCCTTTTGGAGATGTCTCCTCCCTTCAGCCCAGAGAAATGGAGACCAGGGGTAGTGGGAGACTCCCATGGGAGGACCGGTTCCTGCCTCCAAAGAGCTTCTCCTTGTTTCCCAAATATGCAGCCTCGGCCCTTACTGCAGTTTCAGGGCGGGATGGGTGAGAAGAGGGGGTTCCCTTCCCCTTCCAAGCCTGATTTTGAGACACTCCCCCCACCTTACACAGAGGCTCCTTACTGTATGGCACCCCCACAATGTTTGTGGACATTCTGAACCAGCCAGACTTCTCCAGTTATGACATCTCGGCCATGCGTGGAGGTAGGGTAGGGCCAAGGGTGGCCAGGCCAGGATTGCTGAGCTAGATATGTGCCCAGCCTTTTATTTAGGGGGCAAAAAGCTCACTGTAGAAAAGTGGGTGGGAGGGAGGCAAATCCTCAGTGTCCCTGGACACCAGCCCAAGGCCAGCTGCCAGGTGTAGGAATAAGTCCAGGGTCAGAGGGGAACGTTCTTCTCTAGAAGGAGCTGCAGGTGAAGGGGGTCCACTGGGCCTGGAGAAGCGGGGAGCTGTGTCAGTCCTCTCTCTGATTCAGGTATGATTGCTGGGTCCCCGGCACCCCCAGAGCTGATCCGAGCCATCATTGACAAGCTGAACATGAAGGACCTGGTGGTGAGTGGGCGGAGGCTGGGCGGGGGCTGTGGGCAGGGGGCAGGCCGTGCTGGGGTGCGAACAGGTGGGTGTGGGAGGAGCTCAGACCAGATCTCCAAGGAAGACCCTCTCAGCTGGCCCTCCTTCCAGAAAGCAGATGTCAGAAAGTCTGACCTATTGGCAGCTGGCCAATCATAGAAATAGGTGACAGGGGGCACCTGGGTGGCTCCATCGGTTAAGCATCTGGCTTCGGCTCAGGTCAGGATCCCGGGGTCCCGGGATCGAGTCCAGCATTGGGCTCCCTGCTCTGAGGGGGATTCTGCTTCTCCCTCTACCCCTCCCCGCGCTCATGCATGCTCACTCACTCTCTCTCTTGCAAAAATAAATAAATAAAATCTTAAAAAAAAAAAAAAAAAAGAAATAGGTGACAGGGGAGTAAATATTACATATACATAAATTTGTATTCATGGAAATCTGGGAAAGAAGTGCAGCATGGGAGGGTATGTGGCAAAGCACCAGTGTCCTGCTAGAGTGTCCTGGCAGGTGGGGGGTGGGGGGCTGGCGGAGCTGGGGTATGGGCTCAAGACCGTTTCTGGAAGCAAGGGGTGGGGCAAGGATCTGATGTTTGTTTCCAAATGGCAAGGTAAAGGGGAGCAGAGGGGAAGAGGATTCTGGAAGGGTGGCCGTCCTGATGGCTGCCCTGTTCTGGTTCTGAAGGACTTGGGGTCTTGGCAGCAGCGTCTCTGAGAGGAGCCATGGCGGTGGGGCCAGGCGTGATGGAGCTCTCACCAGCAGGTGGAGCTGGGTTCGTGCTGGAGCGCCCGAGCCCCCCTGCCAGGACGTATCTAGATGTGGACAGCTCTGGCGCCAGCAGAGGCTGTGGGGAGAAGGTGGGGGTCAGAGGTGGGAAGGTCAGTAGTTTCTTCCGCTGAAGGCAGAGGCCGGTCACCAGGACCGGCTGAGTCAGGACCTGTGGTGAGGCAAAGTTCAGTGTCAGGAGTCCAACAACCCAGACAAGGCTGGCCGAGAATGGGGGGGGTCCCAGGCAGTGTCATTTTCCCCTTTAGAAGGGGAGCCCCTGTCCTTCCCCTCCTCTCCCTACACAAATGGAGGGTCTGTGCGGACACCCTCCTCCCTTGCTAGAATCCCCGAGAAGAGAATGGGGGACCTGCCCACCCGTCCCCCACCTGTTTAATGGCGGCCGGCTTTCTTGGACCTCTTAGTGGGAAACTTGCAGGCGCGGAAAGCGTCCGTGTCACGGATATGCTGGCCTTTGAACTTGGCGGGCGAGGCACAAGTGGCATCAGGGCGGGAAGTCTTGGCTTCCAGCCACCTAGAGAGACAGAGAGTCGCTGGGCTTGGGGGAGAGAGGTGGGAGTGCTCGGGGAGGGGACAGCGAGCCAGGGGCCCAGGATGGACTTATCTCTAGGATGGCCTGGAACCGTCATCTTCACGTGCCAAACTCCTGGGCTCCCACACCTACTAGGCAGCAGATCTAGGACATAGGGCCCAGATGTCTCCATGCGGGGCCGGGGTATCTCTGCTTCATCCCATGAGAGCACATTCTGGGGGACTGCAGGGGGGTGTTCTCACCTCCGAAGACCCCGGAGCTGGCAGGTACATTTCCAGGGATTGTTGGTGAGGGTGAGGGTCTCTAGGCTGTCAAAGGGGAAGTTGGAGGGCAGCTGGTTCAAGCGGTTGTTCTCCAGATGGACGTGTTTCAGTGTGGTCACACCCAGCAAGGCGCCGTCTGAGAACTGGGGAGTGAGGACGACAGGAGTGAGCACCCCAGCCCCAGGGTCCAGCCTCTCCCAGCCCTATGGTCCCAGAGGGCAGTGGCTCCTTGAGGACTTTCAGCGTGACTAGGGTGTCTCAGATGATCTGATCCGTACAACCACCTACTGAGATAGGTGCTTGTATTTCCAAAATGCAGATGGGGTGGGGGAGGGGGGCGGGGGGGTTGTCAAGTCTCTTGCCCAGGGTCACACTAGCAAGTAAACAGTAGCGGCAGGACCACACCCAGCTCCTCTTCCCCTGGCACCACGCTCCCTGCACAAACACTGGGACTGGGGAGGCAGCCAGAGTTTGGCTCCAGCAGCCCGAGTTGGCACCCGGTGAAGCTGGTCAGTGTTTGGTGGGATGGGCAATGGGCCCAGGCTCCCCGCAGCCCCAGGGTCCTGGGACTTCCCCCAGCTCTGTCCTCACTGCTCCCTCCCTCACTGCTTGCCAGAGGCTATTTGTGGAGCCTCCTTGGTAGAGACTTTGGCCAGGCTGGATGGCTCCAGAGGAAACATTCTATTGGTGCCCACATCTTGGCCCAGGCATCACAGTTCTGCCTGGCCTCCCCTGCCCCAGATCAGTCCCTGCTCCCCACTAAAAGGCCACTCTGGCACCGGTGGGCCACAGGGAACTCTGACTTTATCTCTGGAGGGGCCCGGGGCTGAAGACAGGCGGGCTCCATCCCCCCGGACAAAGGTTGGCTGCCATCCAGGTATGGTTCTGCCCTCATCCCTGTGCCCTGTGGCTCAGGGAGGGGTGTGAAGTTCCCTGGAACCAGACTGTTCTGATGACGGTCTTCTACACCTTGCCCTGGTCCCCACCCAAACCTCCTGGCCGAAGCCCCTGTACACAGAGTGATTTTCCAGTCCCGAGGAGGGATTCCGCCCCAACCCCAGGCAGCCCCATCTGGGTATCACAGGGCAGAAAGGACTGAGCAAGGCTGCAGCCAGGAGATGCGTCTGGTGACCAGGGTGGGCAAAGGGCCGTCAGTGCTCTGGGGGATAGTGAAGCACAGCCAGTCTTCTCCGTGGGGAGACACCTGGAGTCTTGTGCCAAAGGCTGACGGTGCTATGTGGCTCTCGCCTTTGCCCCTTCGTGGAGGCCCTGAGTGCCCTCCCTGCCACCTGGGGAAGCCCCTGGTCCTTGGGCCCCACTCAGCTGAAATGGACCTGGGAATGCGGTGCGGGGTGGATGTGTGTGAGCTGGGGAAGAGGGAGGACATTCGCCAGGGCCTCTGGGGGACATGGAGGTCTTCTTCCTCGGCTGTTTGCTTTCCCCTCACCCCCCAGTCCCCCACCCCACCTCAGCACACATGGACACCCCCCCACCAAGAACAGGGTCTCTTTGTGGGCCTGATTTGCCCAGCTCCTCTGGAAAGCTTCTCAATAAACAAACCTTCCTTTATGGGGTGGTAGGTTTCCTGGAGACAGGAAAAATACAGCAGAGGAGGGATGGAAGGCCCAACAGGAAGAGGGGGCTCCTGCCCACAGCAGGGGGTTCAGGGGCACTGGACATGCCTCCTAGGGGCCATCGCTGGGGCCACGGCAGCCCCAGCTCCGTCTATAAGTGGGAAGCCTCAGAGGGCAGTGGCTCAGACTAGGGACAGGGACAGCAGGGCAGGCTTTAGGGTGCGGATGAGGCAGGATGAGGGACAGAGGTGGCAGAGCTCCTCTCCTTGGAGCTAGCCAGAGAGACAGAAGCAATTTTCGGGGAGAAGGGATGGTGCCCAGCCGTGGCCCCAGACCCGCGGAGCCTCGAGGCAGAAGAGGAGCCAGGGCAGAGCCCTGCGGCCAGCAGCTCACCTTCTCCAGGTTGGTGTTGTCCAGCCAGAGGGTCTCCAGGTATCTGCCGAAAGACTGGAAGGCACCGTCAGGAATGCTTTTCAGGGGGTTGTGGGACAGCTTCAGCTCCTCCAGCACCCGCAGCTTGCTGAGAGCAGCCGAGGGGTAGCTGGACAGCTGGTTCCTGTCCAGGTGGAACTTGGCGAGGTTCTCCACGTCGTCCAGAGCGCCGGGCTGCAGCGCACTGAGTGCGTTTTCTGACAGGTAGAGCCAGCGCAGGTCCTTGGCGCCCTGGAAGGCGCCAGCGCGCAGCTCACGGATCTTGTTGTTGTTGAGCTGCAGGATGAAGAGGTTGACCAGCGGGGAGAGCAGCCCCCGGGGCAGCTCGGTCACCTTGTTGTGGTCCAGGTAGAGGTAGGTGAGCTCGGTCAGGCCGTCAAAGGCGCCGGCGCGCAGCACGCGGATGTCGTTGTGGGACAGGTACAGGTAGATGAGCTGCTTGAGGCCTCGGAAGGCTCCAGCCGCCACCTCGCGGGTCTGGCAGTGCTGCAGGTGCAGCGACACGAGGTTTGGCATGGCCCGAAACGAGTTGGCGGCCAGCACCGGGAAGTTGTTGCGCTGCAGGTTGAGCAGCTTGGTCTTCTCTGACACCTTGGGGATCTTCTGCAGCCCCACCTTGTCGCAGATGACGTGCTGCAGGTCGCCGTGGCAGTGGCAGTTCTGGGGGCAGGCGGCCAGTGCCGGCAGGAGGCCGGCCAGGAGGCCGAGACTGAGCAAGAGCATCGGACGGGCCATGGCCGGGACACCTGGGGCCGGGGCCTGGGGGGCAGCGGCGGCGGGGCGCGGGTAGCGGCAAGTCCTCGGCGCTCCGGGCTCCCGCCCTCTTTATACGGTGGCCCTGACCGCAGCCGGCAGCCGGAGCCAGCTCCTACGTGGAGCATCCAGGCCACCGGGCTTAACTCCCTCCCGCCCAGAGATGCGCCCCCGCCCTCGACGGGGAGGGGTGGGGCCCTGCCCCCAGCTGGGGACCGTGCGGGGGGCCGGGGCCGTGACCCCCGGGGCCTCGTCCCCGAGCCCCGGCCCCCTTTCTCCCTGCGCTCAGATCCTGCCTCCCTTCCGATCCCCCACCTCCTTTCCCCATCCTTTGGGGGCTGGGGGTACGGGTGCCTCCAGAGCCCCGAGTTTACACCGGAGAGGGAGGCGTTCCCGAACTTACTTGTTTGCACAAGTTCGCGCCCCCATGCCACCCCCCCCCATGCACACTCGGCGCGGCGCCCTGGCCCCGGGGAGAGAGGAAGCGGGGCCGGACGGCCGGACGCGAGTCTCGCCGCGGTCGGCCGGCCGGCGGCGCTTTAATGGCACTGTTGTGCGGCGCCGGCCGAGCGTGAGAGCCGCGCTGGCGGCGGGCTCCCCCTTCCGGCTGGACAGCGGGCCAACCCTAAGGAGATGGGCGCTCCTTCCCCGCCGCAGGAGCTGCTCTCCCGCCCCTCTCCCCGCCCCGGGCTTGAATTTCTGTCCCCGGCACTCCTGTCCCGTTTTTTCCACGGTTGAAGGCTAACCAGAAATGTGGGAACAGGGGCGGGGAGTGGGGGGGCGACCCGCAGAACTCACAGACACACCTGACGACCACAGGCCACGAGTGGGGACAACTGAAGGAGCACAGTCGCACCATCTCCCCCCTTCCCACCCCTCTCCCCACCCTTCATCTCCCTAAAATATCTCCATCTCCTCATCCCCACCCCCAGTGGTCAGGACCTGCCCCTGAGGGGTCTCACAGGGTGGTGGCCAGAGTGGCGCCAAGGTGTACTTGGCAGAGGCCACACCTGGGCAGTGGCCCCAGGACTATGGGGGGGGGGGGGCAGTGTCAGGTCCTGGCTACCAGGGACCAGCCCTGGATGGCTCTGGTCCTGTGGGCAGCCCTGCCGCGGCTGACCAGGTCTCTGTGTCCACTTGCCAGCCACGGTGTCCGGATTCCTGTGGAAAGGGGAAGGGAGGCAGGCAGGGTCTGAGCTCTGGGCTGCCCAGTCGGGGTTGTTGTCTGTGTTTGAGAGGGGGAGGGGCGGGGCCAGACCCCAGCAGTGTGCCAGCTAACACAAAAGAAACTGGGGGTGGGGGGTGGGGTGGAGGATGGACAAAGGTCTGTTGTCTTTGCTGATCAGGAGCTAGCCCCTCTCCCAAGCTCCTTTCACCCATTGCCTCCAGAGGGGGGTCATAGTTGGCTCAGAACATTCCCTGGTGGTATTTAAGGCTCCTCCAAGGCTGGCTTCTGGTTTTCTGTTGCTCAGGATGTTCCAACCACTAGAAGTGTTAGGTGGTGAGCGTGCCACTGGCTTTTAAACCCTTGCTTTGGCTACATTTTGCATTTTGATGGAAGTAAATTTACAGGAAACTCTCCAAAGCTTGGGGATCACCCACCCCAAGGCCAGGCATTGATCCCAGGTTTCGGGTGGTTTGTATCTGCACAGTTCCCAGCTAGGCCCAGGTGGGCTGGCTTTGTCCTCAAGTTTGTGAGACCTTCAGTTTGGAAGGGAGGGGCAGGGGATGTTGCAGTCTGAGATCAGGAAGGGGGTGCGAAGACGGCCTAGGGCTGAGGGAGAGAAGGCGGGGCATCAGTAACACAGGGAACCACAGGCTCAGGCATGTGGCTAGTCCAGGAAGCTGGGAACCGGCGCATACTGGGAAAGAATGGCTTCCCTGCTCTCAATTTTAATTCAGACCTGGGGACCCTGCTAGTTGAGCTAGTCAGCTCAGCACCCCAATGCCTCTGCCTCCGGACCCCTGCCCTCTGCCCAAACGCCTCAGTTCCCACCACTCAGCTGCCTCACTTTTCTCCTGGGTCCCTTCCCATTCCTCCAGGGTAGCTCGCCCTCCCCTCTGCAGCCCCAGGGCTCCCTCCAAACACCCTGCCCCAATCCTCTAGGTGGCTTATGGGACCACTGAGAACAGCCCTGTGACCTTCATGAACTTCACCGAGGACACTGTGGAGCGGAAGGCAGAAAGCGTGGGCAGAATTATGCCTCACACAGAGGTGAGCCCCAGCCCCAGCCCTTCAGACCCCACCTCCTATCACTCAGCTTGGGTGCATTCCCTGGGGACGTTTATTGTCTTCAATTAGAGAGCCGTACACTCCCTCGTGGGCTGAGGCCCGAGAGGGAAGAGCTGGGGCACTGGCCGTGAGCAGCCGCCGGCTGAACCCCGCAGCCTCCCTTCCTGTCTGAGGTGTGTTTTTGCCAAGGCCCACTGCCTGTCTCAGGGCAGTCAGGACAGCCTCCAAGAGGAGCCAGAGCAGAGATTTTTCCTACATAGCTCTTTCCCCCCCCAGCCTCCCCCCTGCTCCGCCCCGCCTTCCGCAGAGCACCTCTGTTTGCTTGGCATAAACACTCCATTTCCCAAGCAGCCCGTCCCTCTGAGGGCCCCTTGCACCTTGAAGGCTGACCCAGAGCATCTCTCCCTCTGAAATTCCCAGCCGTGGCTCCTTGCCTGCCCCAACACGGGTGCTTGATGCCAGCCTGCACCTGGTTTCCCCTGCCTCCTTGTGCCCTGGCCCCTCTGGGGTCATTGCCCACGCAGCCCTTCCGCGGAGGCTCGCCACCATCCTGGGGCAGACTGCTCCTGCCCCGCTCCATGGGGTGAGTGTGCAGTGGCATTAGCCCCTTCCCAGGTGTCTGACAGTCTCACTGCCACTCGCCGGGGTGCCCACCTGCAAGGTAGACAGGGGCAAGCGGAGTTTGCCCCATTTCCCGGATGCAGCTCCCGAGGTACACAGACCAGGCTTTCCTTGCACGTTGGCTGTGGCTCCTTTCTGTGCTAGGGCTCTCCAACTCTGCCTTCTCCTGTCCCCGTGGCCCTGCCACACCGGCTCCCCGGCCTCCTTAGTCGCTGCTTGATGGGAAATAAGAGGAGACTCCCTTCTCTTCTGCAGAGTTTGTAATTCTTCAGCTGGCCTGGCCCTCCACGGGCCTCGTCCTCTGCACCAGCGGCCGCCCCCCTCCGCTTCCCCTCAGCTCCTTGCCTGCACCCTTCTTCCAGCCCAGCTCACGTGTCTGGCTGCTGGGGGATCCGCTCCCTTCCCTGGATCGGGATGAGCAGAGCCAGGGGGTGGAAAAGCAAAGCCCCTTCCACCCCCGTCCCCAAGGGCCCCCCCTCCCTCCTGAGGTGAGGGCGCAGGAGGCCCCAGCCTGAGGCTGCTCCCGTCCCAGGCCCAGATTGTGAACGTGAACACGGGGACGCTGGTGGAGCTGAACACGCCCGGAGAGCTGTGCATCCGCGGGTACTGTGTCATGCTGGGCTACTGGGGCGAGCCCCAGAAGACCGAGGAGACGATTGGACAGGACAAGTGGTATCGGACAGGGTGAGGAGGCAGCCCAGGGCCTCAGAGAGGCTGGGGGCGGTGGGGGTGGGTTGGGGGCAGGCGGTCTGAAGCTGAGCTGGAAACATTAAACTACAACAGGGAGAACAGTGTCTGCAAAATCTGAGCCAAGACTCACTCATCTGTCCCCTGAACAAGTTCTCATCATGTGCCTCCCAGGGCCACTGCTGTTCTGGACGCTCGCGGTCCGAGGGGAGGCAAGAGGCGGGTCCTGCTCTTACTCTCCACCTGTCTAAACACCATGAAGACAGTAAAATAGGGTCAGAGGAAAGAAAGTGGCAGTGGTGGAGAGGGGCGCTTCTCTTAGACTCGGGGGGGATCAGAGAAAGCCTCTGTAAGGTAGACATGTTTGAACTGAGACCCGATTGATTAAAAAAAAAAAAGAAAAGAAACCCTCCATGAAAAGCGTATCTACAGAATGTCTTGTTCGTGCCATATCCCCCAGACTCTAGAGCAGTGCGAGACACACAGTAGGTGCTCAATAAATGTCTGACGAATAAGGGAGCGAGCCAGTCAGAGGAAGCAGAGGTGAGAGGCCATTCCTGGGCTTTCCTCACAGAGACATAGCCGTGATGGACAAGCAGGGCTTCTGCAAGATCGTCGGCCGCTCCAAGGATATGATCATCCGGGGCGGCGAGAACATCTACCCCGCGGAGCTCGAGGACTTCTTCCACACACACCCGCAGGTGCAGGAAGTGCAGGTGAGGCACCCAGCCCAGGTGAGCCCCCAGGAACAGGAACCGGGGATGGGCATGGCAGTATCTAATAAATGTCTCTGGCTCGGGAAGGTGGTGGGAGTGAAGGATGACCGGATGGGGGAGGAAGTCTGTGCCTGCATTCGCCTGAAGAAGGGAGAAAAGACTACGGAGGAGGAGATCAAGGCTTTCTGCAAAGGGAAGGTGGGAGCCTCAACCGCCCCAAGCTGATGTTATTTCGTTCTTCAGCCCTCTCTCCCTGCCAGCCAGCCCGTCCACGGTCCCACTGTCCCAGGTTTCACCTGCACCCCATCTCCCTAAACCTATGACCTCGCCCAGCCTCACACTTTATCTCCCTCTGGTCTGCAGATCTCCCACTTCAAGATTCCCCGATATGTCGTGTTTGTCACAAACTACCCCCTCACCGTCTCAGGAAAGGTGTGTAAAGGGACCAGAGGGGGGCAGGGTGGCCTGGGGTCCTAGGTTCCCAGAAGGCCTAGGTGGCCCCACCTATGCCTCCCTCAGCAGTGGGCAAAAGAGTCTGTCCAGAAGCTGGCAGTAGGATGACCAAGTAGCTCATCCCTGTTTGTCCCAAACTTTCCTGGCTTTACCCTAAAAAAACTCCTCAGTCTCAGGCAAACCAAGCCAGCTGGTCACTGTTGCTGGCAGAGGCCCCGAGTCTGGCTCTCACTCTCTTCTTTTTCCTCTAGATCCAGAAATTCAAACTTCGAGAGCAGATGGAACAACATCTAAACCTGTGAATAAGGGACTGGGGGTCCTCCCAGGCCCTCCCTGCCCTTCCCCCACACTCCCGTCTGTCTTTGTGATTTGGCATAAAGAGCTTCTCTGTTTTCTTTGGTTGGTCTCTTGCTGGCGTGCTCTCTTGGCAGCCACTCTGGGATGGAGAAAGGAGGAGGCACTTTCAGACCTCCCACTCCTTGTCACGATAGTGCTAAGCACTTTGGCGTGCATTATCTACTTAATTTAATCCTCATTCGATCCCTTTGAGATACCAACCCAATTTTTTTTTTTTAAGGTATACTCGTTGCTTTTTCACATTGTTGTCAGATTAGTCCAGCAAGAAGTATTCCTTTTAAAACAATAAAAGCTGGGGCTCCTGGGGGGCTCAGTTAAGCATCTGCCTTCGCTCGCTCAGGTCACAATCTGGGGTCCTGGGATTCAGCCCCGCATTAGGCTCCCTGCTCAGCAGGGAGTCTGCTTCTCCCTCTCCCTCTGCCCCTCCCCCCCAACTTGTGCATGCTCTTTCACTCTTTCTCAAGTAAATAAAATTTTTAAAACAATAAATGCTTTGTTAAGATAAAATTGCACATACCATCCAATTCACCCGTTAAAAGTATCCTATTCGATGGTTTTTAGTATATTCATAGATATGTGCAATCAACCCCTAAGTCAATTTTTTTCATTGAGGTATAGTTAACACACAATGTTACATTTGTTTCCCAGAGTCCATTTTAAACCTCTTCATCACCTTAAAAAGAAACTCCATACCCTTTAGCTATCATCCCACATCCTGTTATTCCACTGCCCACGCCAAAACCAACCCTTTTTTTTTTTTAATAGATGAACCTGGGGCTTCCCTGATGGGCTGGGCCAGATCTAGCATGCTGGAGCTCCCCGCAAGAAATAAAAACAGCTGGGTTCCAAAAGGCACATCAGTTTCTAGTTCACAGAGGCCAAAACTTTCCTGCTGCTTTCCATACTTCCCTCCCAGTGTATCTGCCCCCTCCAGCAGCAGCCTCCTCTTTACTTTTCAGAAAATTCAGAAAATTTACTTTTAGGATGCTCCCAGTGCCAGAAACTATGCTAAGTGCTTTCATATGCATTTTCTCTTGAAATTTTCCCAGCAACCCTGCCAAGTAGGCACTAGCCCAATTTCACAAAGGGTGAGACCTGGAAACTCAGAGAGGTTCAGATTCTTACCCAAAGCCACACAGGTGGAATTAGAACCCAGATGTCTGGCTCCAAAGCCCACAATCATTCCACTTTATCAAACAGTTCTTCAGGTGCCTGCTTCTCCAGCCTTTCACCTGCACCTCGTCTCTCATACCTACACCATCTTTGATTCTCCCAGCAGGTGCCCAGGTTGGCCTGACCCAGGAGATAACAGCTTACTCTCCTGGCCAAGCCGGCTGCCCCCTGGGAATTTCTACACCTTCAACATCCAGCCCAAGGTGCCCTCTCCTAACCCCACTGACTCCACGGCCCTTGTAACAGACCCGCCACACAGCACAGAGCACACTGCCCTGGTATCCAGCAGGTGCTGAATTAGTATCTGTCGCCCGCTGTCTCTTACTGGTTTCTCTTTCTCCTGTCTTAAGCACCTGTACTGAGACCTGGTTTCATGCATCTAGATGTCCCCAGTGCCCAGCTCTGAGCCAGGCACGTAAAATATGAAGGAAGTGAGGGAACGGTCTAAGAATTCCTGGACGGGTCGAGGAACTCGCCCTCGGACAGGGTGAAAAAAGGACGGCGCCTCAGCCCACAACCCGGCCCCCGCCCCGCCCCTCCCTACGCCCCTCCCCGCAAGGGACCGACAGGCGGCTGCGGAGAGCGCGTCGGTGCCCAGCAGGTGGCGCCGCAGCAGCGAGGCCCCCGGGCCCAGGCGGCCCGTCCGGAGACGCGGCCGGCAGTCACGCAGCCCCTCTTCCTTCCGCCGGGGCGGCCCAGCTGGCCTGGCTCCGCGCACTCCCGTGCGCCCCGGGCGCGTGTCGGCCGGATCTCCCGGCGCACCGGGCTGCTCCCCGCCGCAGCGTGCGCCATGGCGCTCCCCGGGACCCGGGCCCGCGGCTGGGCGGCAGCGGCCAAAATTGCCCAGAGGCGCCGCCACGCGGAGGGCGCGAGAGGATCCTCGAGTCGTGCGCCCCCGAGCTCGCGCGCGGCGCTTTACGTGCACGTGAGTGGGGCGGGGGCGGCGGGCCGGGGCCCACGTGGCGTCTGGTCGCGCGGTGAAGCCGCCTCCGTCTGTCCCGGCCCGCAGACAAGGTCTGGGACGGGACGCGGTGCCCGGGCAAGGAAATGACCTGGATCGGAGACCTGAAGTCGCTGGTGCTCGCCAGTTCGGTGACCTTGACCGAGTGATTTCCTTCTGAGCCTCAGTTTTCTCCTAATGAAGTGGGCATAATATTCCCTGTCTCACCTGCCTTGGGGAGTTGTGTGGCTTAGATGGTGTAGCCGTTGTTGAGGACTTTGGGATGGGGATGTGTGCGACGGAACCCTGCAAACGGCGAGGGCCGCTGGGGTCACCCCGCGCCCCGCTCATCCACCCCTGCCCCTCGCTCATCCACCCCTGCCCCCCAGTGGCCGTACTGTGAGAAGCGCTGCAGTTACTGCAATTTCAACAAATACGTCCCCTGCGGCGTGGATGAGGCAGCCATGCGGAGCTGTCTGGTGACCGAGGCTCAGACGCTGCTGCGACTCAGCGGGGTGCGGAGGTCGGTACTGGGGCTGTAGGCGGGGTCTTGGAAGTTGTTTGGAGGGAGTAGCTAGGACCGGTGCAGGCGTCCGGGAGGGCTCCCCCAGGTCTCATCTTCTCCACCCTCTTTCCCCAGGGTGGAATCTGTGTTCTTTGGTGGGGGCACCCCCAGTCTGGCCAGTCCCAGCACTGTGGCTGCTGTCCTGGAGGCGGTGGACCAGGCAGCTCATTTGCCTGCAGACTCCGAAGTCACATTGGAGGCCAACCCCACTTCGCCCTCCGGCGCCAGGCTGGCAGCTTTTGGGGCTGCAGGGGTCAACCGGTTGTCCATCGGCCTCCAGGTAGCCCATCTCACCCACCGCATCCCAGGGCACCCAGACCTTCAGTGCTGTCTCTCCTCTGGTCACATTCATTAATTGGGCAAACATTTATTGAGCTCCTCTGGGTGTCAGGGCCCAGTAGGCCCTGGAAAGTGTATGGTGACACTTGTGCTTAATTGCTGCTGTGTTAGCCCCCAGGCTTCATGAGGCTGGGATCATGCATGCCTTTTTTTATTTTTTAAGCGCAATATTCCAAGTACCCACCATAGTGCATGGCACAGAGTAGACAGTCAAAAATTTTTGTTACGTGATTGGAGACACAGGAAGAGGCAGACAGGTCATCAGATCATTGCAGCATGGTGAGGGCTGCCAATAAAGGGGTCCCAACAAAAGCCTTTCAGAGTACAGCCCGAAGGGCATCTCAGGCTGATGAAATCCTGGACACCTTCCTGGAGGAGGTGATCTTTGATGAGGAGGAGGACTTCCACAGGAGAGAGGGTGTGGGAGGAAAAGACACAGGATATGGAAGAGTCTTGCACGTTCTGGGGAGCTATGAGTCATTCTGTCACTGGAGAGGCGGGAGGCAAGGCTGCAACGTAGGGCCCAAAAGCCTTGAGCATCATACTAGTTTTTGGGGGGCACCTGGCTGGCTCTGTCAGCGAAGTGTGTGACTCTTGGTCTCAGGGCCGTGAGTTCAGGCCCCACAGTAGAGATTACTTAAATAAATAAATAAATAAGCTTTAAAAAAAAAAAAAAAAAAGACTTTTTTTGTGGTAAGAACAGATAACCTGAGATCAGTATACCCTCTTAACAAATTTTTTTAGTGTACAGTATGGTATTAATAACTATAAGCACAGTGTTGTACAGAAGGTCTCTAGAACTTATTAAGAGATGTTTTATAAACTGGCCTGTATTCTTCAAAAATGTCATGTCATGAAAGACAAAGGCTGAGTATCTAGACTCAGAGAGAGGAAAGGAACAATGAGAGCTGACTGCAATGTGTGACCCAGTTGGATCCTGGATTCGGGTGGCAAGGGGAAGTTACTCCAGTGAACAGTATTGGGACAACTTTGAATATGACACTGTATTAGATAATGGTGTCGTGTCAGTGTGACATTTCCTGAACTCTATAATTGGATTGTGGTTATGTAAGAGATTGTCCTTGTTCTTAGGAAATGTGCACTTTAGTATTTAGGGGTACAGGGGTATGGTGTTTAAGTTAATTACGTTAAAGCAACCACATTGCAAGTGCTCACTAGCGTGCGGTCAGTGGCTAGCATATTTTGCTAAAATGTTCTGTGTCTGCAGTGACCAGTACAGTAGCTACTGACCACATGTCAGTAAACGCTTGGAATATGATTATTGAAATTTAACTAACTTTAAATAGCCACATGTGGTTAGTGTCGACTGTATTGGACAGTGCAGATAGAGGACATCTCTGTCATCCCAGAAAGTTCTTTTGGTCAGTGCTGGCCTATAACTTACTGCCAAATGATTCAACACTGTAATCACATACGTGTATATTTAGAGACAAAGCAAGTGTGGCAAAATGTTATTCGGTGAATCTAAATGAAGGTGTTTATTGTACTCTTCTTTCAATTTTTGTAGAGGTTTAAAGTATTTTTCAAAAAGGAAAACTTAAAAACACTCTCGGCTTTGGAGTCAGACAGTCCTAAATTCCAGGTCTGACTTTGTATGACGTTGGGCAAGTTACTTGGCATTTCTTTTTTTTTTTTTTTTAAGACTTTATTTATTTGAGAGAGAGCGCAAGCAAGAGAGCATGGGTGGAGGGGGTGAGGGGGTGGATCCCAGGACCCTGGGACCATGACCTGAGCCCAAGGCAGACGCTTAACTGACTGAGCCACCCAGGCGCCCCATTTAACACCTCTAAACCTTAGTTTTCTTATCTATAAAATAGAGCTAATGTCAGAGGATTATAAGGATACATTACACGTTGTTTAAAAATGCTTTGTGCAGGGGCGCCTGGGTGGCTCAGTCGGTTAAGCGTCTGCCTTCGGCTCAGGTCATGATCCCAGGGTCCTGGGATCGAGCCCCGCATCGGGCTCCCTGCTCAGCGGGAAGCCTGCTTCTCCCTCTCCCCCTCCCCCTGCTTGTGTTCCCTCTCTCGCTGTGTCTCTCTCTGTCAAATAAATAAACAAAATCTTTAAAAAAAAAATGCTTTGCGCACAGTGAGCCATAACCCTTGGTTGTGGCTTGTTCCAGCTCCCTGCCGTGTCCTGTGTACCTGTCCTCAGTGAGGTCGGTCACATGTTCCTGTCTGCCTCTGAGCTGGCCTCCGTGCTTACACCTGACCCTCTCTCCTCAGTCCCTGGATGACACCGAGCTCCAGCTGCTGGGGCGGACACACTCGGCCAGAGATGCTCTCCAGACACTGGCAGAGGCGCGGCGCCTCTTCCCCGGCCGCGTGTCTGTGGACCTGATGCTGGGGCTGCCAGCCCAGCAGGTGGGGCCGTGGCTCGGGCAGCTGCGGATGCTGCTGGGCCGCTGTGACGACCACCTCTCCCTCTACCAGCTGACCCTGGAGCGGGGCACCGCACTCTTCACCCAGGTGCAGCGGGGCACCCTTCCTGCCCCTGACCCCGAGCTTGCTGCTGAGATGTACCAGGAGGGACGGGCCGTGCTCCGGGAGGCCGGCTTCCGCCAGTATGAGGTCTCCAACTTCGCCCGGAATGTAAGTCCTGGGGCCCACGGCTGAAGTTGGGGAACAGGCAGGCTAAGCTGGGACTGGAGAACTGTGGCCCTCTGGGGAAGGGGGTTTCTGCTGGCTGCTCTCGAGGCCTTGAGCTAGGACCTTCTAACCAGGTGCAGAAACTGGCCCACCTTCCTCACTCTGAACGGACTATTCCCTCCCTCCCCGCAGGGGGCGCTCAGTACCCACAATTGGACTTACTGGCAGTGCGGTCAGTACCTTGGCATTGGGCCTGGTGAGTCCCCTGTGAACCGAAGAAGGGATGACTCAGGAGCAGAATGTCACGGCTGTGTGATCTTGGGCCACTTGTTAACCTCTCCAAGTCTCTGTTTCCTTCTGCATAAAGTGCAGCAACAAATAATACCTACTTTGTATAGCTGTTCGATATATATTTTGAGATGCTGGGTATAGTGCCTGGCACCGTGGTTCTCAGTTGTTAGCGTGTACCAGAATTACCTGGAGGGCTTGTTAAAATGCAGATCGCTGGGCCCTGCGTCCAGAATTTCTGACTGGACGGCCTTGGTTGGTGTAGGGCCCGAGGATTTACATTTCTAGCATATTAGATGCCATTTGTCCAGGGACCACATTTTGAGAACCACTGATTCAACATCTGGCGAGCACCCAGCATTCGCTGCTACTGAAGTGGGGGTGGTGCTTGATGTTGCCAGGGGCCCACGGGCGATTTGTGCCCCAGGGGGCTGGGGGCCACACCCGGGAGGCTCGGATCCAGACCCTGGAGCCGGACAACTGGATGAAAGAGGTGATGCTGTTTGGGCACGGCACCCGGCGGCGCGTCCCCTTGGGCCAGCTGGAGCTGTGAGCATCTGAGGGGGGCCTGCACCCCCAGAGCCCTCCCCACGGGCGCACCTTTGCTTCCTGCCTTGCCCTGCCCCCTCCCTCCCCATCCTGCATGTCCTTATATGTGTGTTAAGAACGGGGGGAGGCCCAGCTCTCTCCAGGACACCGTGATGGTTGTTCTCTCAGGCTAGAGGAAGTTTTGGCCATGGGGCTACGTACAGACGTGGGGATCACTCACCAGGTAAGGGGGGCTGCAGGGCGCTGTGGCACACCACTTCCTTCTCCTAAGTCCTGCAGAATCACTGTCCCTTCTGTGCATGCACATGGGCACACACACCTAGTTCTCTGGGGTGGGTAACTGGAGATTGGCCTTGGCCCAGCCAAGGCCTGATGGGTAGAAACAGTGGGCAGGGTGGGGCTGTGGTGAGGACCCTGGACTAGGGCCACACTAGAGCCCGCCCGCCCCCACCCCCACCCCCGGCTCTAGATGTGCATGAGTCATTGCGGAGATCCCTGTGCAGGCCGGACCCTCCCTTGCCCTTACCACACCCACAGACATGGGATCAGAGTAGCCTGGCCAGCTACCCACCATGGTCTCTGCACCCCTCACCCTTCTGGTTCCCAGCACTGGCAGCAGTTTGAGCCCCAGCTGAGCCTCTGGGACGTGTTTGGAGCAAGCCAGGAGGTGAAGGCACTGCTGGCTCAGGGCCTGTTGCTGCTGGATCACAGGTGTGTCGTGGTGGGGGGGGTGGGCTCGTGCCAGGAGGCCCAGGGAGCCCTGACTACAGATCCACAGGCCCAGGAGGGAAAAGGACCGACGAGGAGGGGCCGGTGGGTGCTGGGTGCTTTGTACCGCTGGAAGGCAAGGATTGAAATTGGTAAGACCAGGCAGTCATGCCCAGGCCTCTTGGTTTTCCAGGGGTCTTCGGTGTTCCTGGGAGGGTCTGGCTGTGCTGGACTCTCTGTTGCTGACCCTCCTGCCTCGACTCCAAGAGGCCTGGCAGCAGAGAACCCCCTCCCCTGTGCAAGGAGGATGACCAGACCCTCCTGTGTCCCAGGACCATGCCAGGTGGGCTTCGGGGGCGGGACTGACACTTTCCACGGGCAGCTGCCATCTCAGCACCAGTCACTGCTCAGCCTTGGCATCCTCAGGGGCATGGCAACAGCGAGGTGCATGCGAGGACATTTCTGGTTTGGGAACTTGAATCAGGGCCACCCACCACCACCAGAGAAGGAATAATGGTTTCTGCAAGTGCCTCTCGTTAGTGGGCTCTAAAGCAAATCCTGGCTGGCAAGAGATTCTGAGAACTCTAGCTCTCAGGCTTCTAGCCCCTACGACATAGGGCAGGGACAGAGAGAGCCTGACATGTGCTGGTGGACCCGTGCCTCCATCCAGTGCAGTGGCCTGCAGGACTCTGAGGACCATGGGAAGGATCAGAGCAGGCCTTACTCTTTCTCTTTGGGCAACCAGGTTATGTCTGGGGTGCTAGAGCCTCACAGACCTTCCTGCATCCCCTGCTCCCCTCCCCTCTACAGCCCTTGCCTCGAGAGAATGAAGGTGGGGGGAGCTAAGCAGGGAAAGGGAGGGGAGAAGAATTCAGGAAACACCCAGAGCCTGGTAATTTTCCCCTGGCCTTTTACCTACAGAAACATTTGCCTGGTTTTATTTAAACAGCCGAACAAACCCAGTGAGCCCGCCTTGACCTTGGTCTTCTCTTTTGTCCAGCCTCCTTCCCTGGAGGGTAGAATCCTGATTTGGGGACTCGAGCCTTAGTGTAGGGCTGAGGGCTCCTTCCCCCACTGTACATTCCATTTTGAAAGATTTCAAGCCTACGGAAAAGTTAAAAGCATAGTTCAATGTAAAGCACATAGCCTTCGCCGCAGGGTGGTTGTGCATCTGGAAAGAGCAAGTATTTGTAATGTCACCAAGGACATCTTCGACCTGTAAAAAAAAAAGAAAATAGCCATGTTTCCAGACTTTGTGCTCAGCCTGTAGAGTTACTGATTGCTAAATTTTGGCCACATTTACTTTGCCTTTGAATAGCTAGCTAGCTCGCTTTCTTTCTTTTTCTTTGCTGCACCATTTGAAAGAAAGGTGTAGACATCAAACATTTTAGCTTGTATCTCCTGAGAAAAAGAACATTCTCCTATATAGCCACGGCACTGCTGTCAACCTGAGAAAGGGTACTTTCATGCAGTAGTGTGCAGTCCTTTCTCAAATTTCCCCAAATGTCTCCAAAACACCATAAAGTTCCTTGGCTGGGGGCGGGGGGGGGCGGAGACACAGGTGCCAGTGATGTTTTATGCTTAATTTACTTTTGGCTATTACATCTGTTTGGTCTTTTTTTTAAAAAACGCTCCTTTCTTTTTTTGTTTATTTTTATGACAGTAGATTTTTCAGAGTCAAAGCCACTCGTCTTACAGAATGTCCCATATTTTGGGTATATCTGTTTGCTAATGATTGGGTTTAGGTAAAATATTTTTGGCAAGAGTACATATAGATATCGTGTAGCTCAAGGTACATAATGCCAGGTCAGGCCCCTCTCACTTGACTAAGGGGGTGGATGCCCAGCCTGCCCATCATACAAGTACATTTTTTCCTTGGAGATGAATAGATTATCAGTAGGGGTGACACCTTGAGAACAAACGAATGCCCTGTTCCCTGACAGTCATTGCTGCAGTGATGTTAGCATTCACTGCTGATCCTTGCTGAAATCAGTGACTACATTGGGAGGTGCAGAATGTTCATTCCTGACTCTTAACATCCTGTCTACGTTTGTAACTGGCGTTCATCCATTAAAAAAAAGAGCTTTCCCTTTTTTTTTTTAACTTTTTTTTACTATTGTTTATAAAGATTTTTATTCATTTATTCGACCGAGAGAGAGAGAGAGAGAGAGAGAGAGCACAAGGAGAGGGGGCGGCAGGCAGAGGGAGAAGAGAAGCAGGCTCCCGGCTGAGCAGGGAGGGAGCCCGATGCGGGGCTCGATCTCAGGACCCCGGGATCATGACCTGAGCCCAAGGCAGACGCTTAAGTGACTGAGCCACCCAGGCGCCCCCCCTTTGTTTTTTAAAGGGCTGAAACCCTTAACCTAGAAATTGTATGCAGGATGTGTGTGTATGTGAGAGAGACAGATGGCTGAGGGAGAGAGAGAGAGAGAGGAAAGGGGCATTTTCCTGTGCAGAGGTTCTGTAACTTTCATACCTTACCATATCAAAGGGTCCTGTGATGTCAGAAGTAATTTAGTTCCTGGGCTCATCCGGGCATGCTAAGCTCAGCCTCTGGCTGGGTGACTCAGGATGGGGTTCCCTCCACCCCGCAGATATGGGAGCACGTGCGGTCCCTGGGTGCCTAGTGGGTGTATCGGTCCTTCTTTGACCTTGTGGTAACATGGTTACTGTTACTGCCTGTCCTTCAGTCATGAAATATTCAACAAGCACTAGTGGTGTGCTCGGCTTGGCGCAGGGCATATGCAGAGATGAATGAGACCCATCCCAGCCCTGGAACTCACTGCCATATCGATAGATGTGTCAAGAGATAAACTCCAAGGTTATCGGTAAAGATGGGCAGGCAGGCTAGGGAAGCAGAAGCCGGCAGCGGCCACATATGTGGTTCTGAAGGGCTGGGAGCTGGGAAGGGCGTATATGGTTTTTTCCTGCCCCCTCTGGCCCTGGGGCTGCTGGAAGGGTGAGCTGTGCTACTGCGGGGGGGGGGGGGGGGGGGGAGCCTTTCTTCCCCAGCCTTCCCCTGATCTTGATATTCAAGAAGTGAGCATGGGTTCAGGGCAGGTGCAGCATCAGATAACCTAGGTGCACTCGGGTTTCTCCCAGCTGCCGGGGCTCGTGCCACCCGAGATGTCTGGGCCCTCCCTGCTGGGGCACCTCCCGAGGCCGGCGCAAAGGGCTTGGACAGGAGCCAGAGCCCAGTGCAAGCAGCACGGATCACCTTCTGTGACTCAGCCTCATCCCACCCTCAGCAACTGAATCAGAATCTCTGGGAGGTGAAGCCCAGGCAGCTAGCTTTAAAAATGCTTCCTAAGCAGCTCTAATGAGCAGGCCAGTGTGGGAAGCCCTGACATCTCCTGCCTTCCATCCTGAGGGGCTGAGGTCAGGAGGACCAAGGGGGGCAGGGCTACTTTTCGACAGGACACAGTGGAGTGGGGCCCCTCCCACTGAGTCCTGGGCATTCCGTGGCTCATTCATCAGAGGGGTTCTTCTCACTTGTGAGGCTTTGGTTGTCATCTTTTCACCCGCCCTGCTGAAAGCACAGGAACACAAATAAAAGGGGACAAGAAGCCACTTTGGGGACAAAGTGATGAGAGGAGCTGGGGAAATGGAATATGTGAGTGTGTGGTTACAACACGAAGGACCAAGCCTTCCACGTGCAAGAACATTACAATTTTAAGCCTTAAACTGAGCCGTCCCCATCCCCCACCAGGCAGTGTGAAGTAGGCAGGACAGCTATTTTATTTTATTATTATCATTTTTTTTTAAGTAGGCTCTACACCCAACATGGGGCTCGACCTCGAGACCCCAACATCGAGAGCCACATGCTCTGCTGACTGAGCCAGCCAGGTGCCCCTGGGGCGGCTATTTTAATTTCCATTTTACACTGGGGCCATTGAGATTCTCGACTCAAGTCCTATGAGGAGTAAGTAGCACACCTGGTGTGATGCTTCTGGACATCCAGAACTTTCTGTTACATTGTCATTTTATAACAGGTCGGTTAACCTGTCTCTTAAATGAGGCAGATTTCTGACGGCTTTCTGGCCTCTCCCTCAGGCTTGAAGCTGCTGTGTCTGCCCAGTGCCAGGTAGATGGACTTGGTACCTCCGTTTTCCCTCCCACAGAGGCTCCGGCAGTGAGGCCATCCACTTCCTGGGACAGGACTACATGCTGCAAAGCCAAGGACTTGAAATAATAGGATTGCTGCGGAGTCAGTGTTTGTGGCCCCCACCCCCAAGAATTCATACCTGGGAACCGAATCCCCAAGGTGGTGGTATTAGGAGGTGGAACCTTTGGGCGGTGACTAGGTCACGGGGGTGGAGCCTTAGTGCCTTTTCTAAAAGAGGCCCCAGAGGACCGCTGGCCCCTTCCGCCACATGGGGACATGGAGAGAAGACGGACGTCTGCAAACCGGGAAGTGGACCCTCCGCAGACCCCAGAGCTGCCAGCACCTTGATCTTGGACTTCCTCGCCTCCAGAACTGAGAAGTAAATGGTTATTGTTTAAGCCACCCAGTCTATGGTGTTTTTGTTACAGCAGCCCGAACAGACTAAGATAAGGGGGAAATAACCTGCCTGGTAGATTGCGTTAATTGTTCGAAATGTCTACTAGCCCTCCTCGAGTGCCCCTCCCTGAGCACCCTTGGGAGAGGATATGCCTGCCCTGTTGGCTCTGTAAGAGCCCACAGGCGGGCCACTGTCTCCTCCCTCAGCCACAGAGGCCTGACATGTTCAGGTAGAGACAGACTGTCAGTTTGGGGCCGGGAGTGAAGATGGGGGCAGAGGAGCGGCTGACCCCAACAGACCAGCAGGAGTGAGAAATTACCATTTGTCGGAAACTGGTAGGTTTCCAGGGTGTTACTGCGGCATAATTGAGACCTCCCTGGCTGATACAGTCTATAATCCCACCATTCAAAGATGAATCACCATCAGGATTCCGGTATGTAACTGTAGAAATTCTTATATGCAAATGAGCATGTTTACACACACAGTCCTACAAAAATGGGATCATCTAGCTCTTGCTCTGGAGCCTTCTGATACCTAATGTGTGTGAGTGTCTTTCCACGTCAGATTTGTGTCTCTACCCTGTTTGTGTAGCTCCATAGCATACCACTGTGTGGTTATGCCAAAATTTGGGTTTCCAGTTCCTTTTTGGTGAAACTGGAGGTTTAAATGTTATTTTTATAAGCTCCAAGAGGAGCGTCTTAGGTAAATATTTTTACGCCCTGGCTTGACCATTTCCTTAGGTTTAGGATAAGTCCTAAGAAGTGGGGTTGCTGACTCTGAGGATATGCACATCCTTTGGATACACAGTGCCAAACTACCCGCCAGGAAGCCTGCCTGGATCCCCGCTCTGGCCAGCTCACTAGCGCTCATTTCTCTGTAATCTCGTTAATAGCAGGCATGATCGACTTATCCAGATGATCCCAATCCAAAGAGCACTCAATCCTAGCTTTATGATCAGCTCATGGACTGCCTTCCTAACTTTGGCAACTCTTCCATCCATCTGATCCCTCTCAAGTCAGGGAGCCAAGTGGGCACAGCCTCTGGGCCCACCCAGGTAGAAGGCCAAGCAGGAACTGTTGCCCTGTATTCTAGATCCCCTCTGGATTTTTCTTACGCAGAGCTCCTCCCTCCTGTCTTCCTCTCCTTGCTTCCCCGTCTTTTCCTAAGGGGCTTTTTAAAGCCACTTTAAAAAAAATTATTAAACAACATTACAGAAACATTAGAAGTCTAAATTAAAAAAAAAAAAAAAAAAACACAACTCCCCACCCATCGGTGGTCCCAACAAATTCGGTGGTTTTTATTGGCCTGTGTTCCCTTGCAGTCCTCATCCAAACGCATGCAAGATTTTTGCCCAGCTGGGCTCCAGCACAGATCTCATTTTGCATCTGTCCCTTTGGCCGCTAGTTGGGTCAGAAGCATTGTTCCATGTTGTTACATGGTTGTCCTCTGTCTCATTTTGTTGCACAATGTTTCAATGGGTGAATAATTTAATAATTATTATCCTGATGTAAGTCACTTAAGTGGTTACCCGTTTTCCTCTACTATAAATCATGCTGTGGCACATGCTTTTATGCATTTAGCTTCTTCCCTCATTGCAATTATTTCCTCAGGTCAATTCCCAAGAATGAGAGAGTTTAAGGTTAAAGGGTGGTGGGAGTGCTCGAATAATACTTGGTATAAACTGTTACGGTTTTCAAGAAGATTTTTCTTCTTTTCTTTTCCTGCTCAAAAAAATAATGCTCTTTTTCAACCGTAGAGAAGAAAGCAAAAATTCTACTACCCAGAAGTTACCACTACTAACATTTGGACAACCATCCCTCCAGACGTCTCTTGATGCATACGTATACATATAGATGTAGAAATAAAAATAATTTCTCACCAAAGGATCACATTCATGTGCCAATTTTGCAAGCTGTTTTTTTACTCAACATGTCCTGGGTTTTTTCGTCGGTTCTGCCAGCCACAGTGCCTGTGTGCTATAGCATTATGCATCAAAGTCATAGCTGTGAACCAGGCGCAGTGCCAAGAATTTTCCTGCATTAGCTCATTTAAGCTCCACACCAACCCAATGAGATAAGTTCTATTATTATCATGCCCATTTTATAGATGAGGGAACAGGCTCAGGGAGTTAATTGACTGCCCAGGGTCACCTAGGTAGGAAGTGGTGGGGCTAGCACTCAGTTTGCATTCTCGGGGGCTCCGAAACAGATGTGTATATAAATAACACATGAATACATTCTTACTGTAAAAAGTAATAATCCTACAAGCAGTACCATAGCATAGAAAGTAAAGTGTGAAAGTCCCCCTTTACACTCCACAAAGGGTTTGACGTGTGAGTCAGTTAAGTTTAGGTTCAAGTGCGTATGACAGAAAACCAAAGTAACATAAGCTTAAGGAAATGAATATATTTCTTTTTCTTCCACATAGAAGAGGTCTGGACAGAGCATTTCAGGGCTGGTATGGTGGGCCTGTGATCTCTGGCCATGAAGAACCCAAGCTTCTAACTTTATGCTCTATCTTCTCAGTTCCTAACTTCTGTCCCTTAAAGCCTCCACATGGTCTAATATGGTCCCTGGAGTTCCAGCCATCATGTCTGCATTCCAGGCAATAGAACCGGGGGAGGCTGAAGGAGCAATGGTGTTTCCTCCAGCTGAATCAGCCCCCTCTAAAGAGCTTCCTCCAGGGTCCCCCTGCCCCATGACCTCGGCTTGCTTCTAATTGGCCCCCCTTATCCACAAAGGAGGCTGGGAAGTGTGATTTTTAAACTGAGCATGTTGCTGCTTCCCCACCATCCCCCATAAAAGAAGGGCTTGGTTAATTTAGAAAACTGGGGTGGGGGGCAGAATAGCTATTAAGAGGCAGTCAGCTGTACCACCATGTGTATCCCTCCCTGTCCTTTTCTACAAATTTATATATGTATGTATGTATGTACATATAAATATAGTTTTAAAATATTGTGTAAGTGGTACCTTGTTTTAGTTTACATATTAAAATTTCCCAACCAGATTAAACATTTTCTATTAAATATTTATTTACTAGTTATTGTGTTGTATGCATATTTCCTGATCGAGTTGAACGAACTGTCTAGATAGAATAGACTAGAACAGAATAGGTATTACAACTATGATGACTTTTCGTCTTATTTGCTGTCAGAATTGCTTCCAGTATACCACCCTTTTATCCAGTATACCCATCCTCTCTCTCCTTATTTTTGGAAACAAGTTTTCTATACCTGTCAGATATTCACATATTGAGTCCCATCTTTTTCCCTGTGACTTTTCTGTCAGTTCGAGGCACCAGAGAGGGGGTCAACTTCCAAGTTGTCTGCTCCCGCCAGGAGACGCAGTCTAATGTTGGTGGCTAGGCCCACCTGGGTCCGAATCTCCACTCTGCTGCTTCCCACCTGCATGACCGAAGGCAGGAAAGTTCCTTCATCTGAGATCTAGTGTTTCGTGATGGGGTGTAGTGAAGGGGCTACACCAGCCCCAGGTTATCAAAGCTGGCTCTGCGTCAGAACCACCAGATGGGTGGTAAAATGCACCTTCCTGGGCCCCTCTGAGATTTACAGAATCCAAATCTCTGTATCCAGGAATCTGTATTATTTATTTATTTATTTAAAACTTGGGTTTCACTACATTTTTTTTAAAGCATTTTACCTATTAGAGAGAAAGAGAACAGGAGCAGGGGGAAGGGGCAGAGGGGGAAGCAGAAGCAGACACCGTGCTGAGCAGGGAGCCCGACGTGGGGCTCAATCCTAGGACCCTGAGATCATGACCTGAGCTGAAGGCAGACGCTTAACCCACTGAGCCACCCAGGCTCCCCAGGGCTCTGTATTTCTTTTTTTAAGATTTTATTTATTTATTTGACAGAGAGAGACACAGCAAGAGAGGGAACACAAGCAGGGGGAGTGGGAGAGGGAGAAGCGGGCTTCCCGTCGAGCAGGGATCCCGATGCGGGGCTCGATCCCAGGACCCCGGGATTATGACGTGAGCCGAAGGCAGACGCTTAACGACTGAGCCACCCAGGCGCCCCAGGGGCTCTGTAGTTTTAAATGCTCCCCGGGTGAACCTGATGCGCAGCCATACTTCAGGACCACTGGGTCAGCCCAGGTCCGAGATTGCTTCCTGCACCGTGGTCTGAGTAGGGAGTTGGGTTGGGGGCTGCAGCAGCCCTTGGCTACAGTCACTGCTGCAGCCAGCAGGTCTTGCCTCTTCCTCTTGGATCAACAGCTCCCATTTCACATCCAGCCTGATCAGCAGCCTCTTCTCCCTTCTTTGGGGCAGGGGATGGTAAGATGGTAGTCAGGCTCCTGGGATGTGGCCTGAGTGGCTGTCATAGTAATGCCCCTGGGAGGAAGCCAGTGTCACTTACTAGCTGGGTGACCTGAATTAAGCCACTCTGTGAGATTCCATTTCCTCACCTCTGAAGGCAGGACTGTGCCTTTTTCAAGGTTATTATAAGGTTGGCAATGATGGATGGATGGATGGATGCATGGATGGATGCATGGATGGATGCATGGATGGATGCATGGATGGATAGGAAGAGCCCTAGTATAATTCCCGGCCAAAATGCACATTTGACAAATGCAGTAGTTATTACTATTAGCATTTTCATTGTGATTTACAGTGCCCGGGGCATGCTAGCCCTAAGGAAGACAGGTCCTGAACAGGAATTCCTGGTGGCTGACAAGGCCTTGCCAGTAGGTAGCCTTGGAAACATTTTCCTCCCATCCCACTGTAGAACTTGCCACCTCCCCGGTGGCTGGGAGGGCGTGTGCCACAGGCAGAGTGACAACCTCCAGGCAGCATCACCCATACTTTTTATACCAGTGTTCCTTGCTCTTCCCCAGCAGGTGAGACAGGAATGGCCCCATTCTTCAGGTGGCTCAGCTATGCAGGCAGGGATATGCACCTGCCTCCCAGACCCCTGACACCTGGGGCACACTCCCAGAGCGTGCCTTGTCTTTGCTCCCACCTCCTGATTAGTAGGTCTCTCGTGGTGC